CCAAGTATCCAACTGCTACTGTCAATTCATACTACATTTCCATAACAAGAAAAGGAAAACGAAAAGATTTTGAATTTGAAAATAAATTCGGACTCCAACAAAACTGAACACGCCTTGATTAGCGGCCGGCTTTACCGAGAGTAACGAACTTATCCTCAGAAATTGACCGCATAACTTAAAATAACAAACACTTGACAGGAATTAAAATGCAAAAGATTCCATTTCTACGACGTACAAAAATTATAAGGCGACTTCGAATAAAACATTTAAAGAAAATGCCGAGAAAGTACACATCTTTAAAATAATAAACAACTCTAAAATGGTTTTTATTACTTGGCAACGCTAAAATGAATTGAAAGAATTCGGTGTTTTAGTAAGTACGAATCGGAAATTGAAACACATTAAAAAATATTCTGCGATTTCTCAAACATATATAAGGAGATTTCAATATATTACATATACGAGGGGATTTCAATATACACCAAAGAATCAATGAAATTGCTAATGCTATAATCCTTCAGAGCGTCCTTAAAGACACATTTAAAATGGTTGTTCAATAGAGTGCTATTCGTTCTATCGTAATGTTATCATGTAACTGATTTTCTCTTTTGATTTTAGCCGTTTGATTGCAATAAATGTTTCTAATAATTTTGAGGTCTTTGTCGTCTATTTCTCATGAGTTTAATTTACCGTTTATAAAGGATTCGGTATTCGTATATTTCACATTATACATTACTGTATCTCTGAAATAGTATTTTCACACCAAAAACGGCCCCTCGTTTTTCCAGAGCATTACGAAACTAGAATTGTGTCTTGCTAACTATTCCTTGCCTTTTAAAATTTCATTTTATTTTTTATTTATTTACATTATTTACAAACATCAACCAATAAGGTTATTAGCGATATATAAACAGATATATAAAATATTTAACTCATAAATATTAAATTTTGTTAGGTATATTAATATCCTTAAAGAATTTTACCCACTGTTCAATTTTACATTTTTTTCTAAGATTACACCTGTCGATCCGATGATGTGGTTGGTCTGTCTCTGCAACTGGTAACTTGGATACTCTACAAGGACATGCTTCATACTGAGTGAAACATTACAATTGTCACAGTCATAAAGTAGGATTAGTGTGGCCCATTTGTATACTCGTGGGTAATTCGGGTATGTCCTAGACGAAGTCGTGTAAGAAAGAGTTGATGAGCCCTGTTGGAAATTTGATATTTCAACGTCTGTACATGTTTTTACGTCGCGAAGTTTTGGAATTGAAATGTCCCACTGGTTTTGCTACAAATTTTCAACCTTCCCTGTTATAAATGATTTTTAGCATTTAGCACATTTCTCACTTCACTCGCGGTTTCACTGTTTTTTGCTTGTTGGGCAATGAGTTCCGCTTCTTTGTTCCCTTGAAGTCCAATCTGTAAAGGAACCGATAGAAATTCGTTGCGTATGCTTGCTGTTTTGTATGGTAGCTAGTTTTTTTTCAATTAGAAGAGCAATTGAATGTGTTATGTAAAGCTGATTAATGGTATTGATGGAACTGAGGTATTGGTAATTATAAAAACTTTGAATATATTACTGGAATTGAAAATGTTATTCTGTGAAATTTGTTTCTTGTAGACAAATATTAGCACGTGAATGATCATTAGACTTCGGCAAATATGCAAACAAAAATGTAGAAAATATGCGCATAAATATGCACGTGTTTACCCGAAAATATGCAAATATTTTACAAAATATTCATACAAATAAATAAAAAAATCGTAAAATAGTAACAATTTTATTTAAAAAAAAAAAGTGTACATAACTAAATATTTCCTACTATTCATTAAGATTTACATTTATTTTAAGTAACTACATCATTTTTAAGTATGAATAGACTTATTTAGAATTATGGTAACAATAAATGACCAAGTGGTGTTCAAAATTTTCTAACAAAAACTTGTGGCTTCTGTCTGAGTACATATATTTATATATGGAAAAACTTCGTTCAACATCAACTGATGTAACGGGAGCATTTTTCAAACTAACCAAAACATTTGGTTCTTAATTAATTGTTTCCGAAATATTTCCAGCTAGAACACTGACTACTTCAGAAAGAATATGGTAACCTAAATTTTTTTCCATAGTAGCTTCAAATTTTTTTAAAATATCTTTTCCAATATTACCTCTAACGTTCCGACTACATGACGCAAATTCTTTTATTAATGCTGTACTTTCGAACAATGACAGTTTTGGTGATTCTAACTGAGTAATTGTTTTTTGAACAAAACTAAAATTTAATTTTATACATGAAAGTTCTTGTTGAAGCAAGTTACTCTGAAAAGTTTGTTTAGAATCCAAAAGAGATTGGGAACTTTCATCTGTTAACGTATCAATTATGTTCTTTATTTTAACAAAATGATCTGCATAAAAATTAGCTGCTTCTAACCATGTTCCCCATCGCGTTAAAATAGGTTGTGGTGGAAGAGGAATGTTAGGTAGCATTTCTTTATAAAGTTGAATTCTTATAGGAGATTTAAGAAATACTTTTTTGACACTGGATATCATGGTATTTACAAGAGGAAACTTTTTTCGTATTTCCTCTGCAACTCTGTTTAATCCATGCGCTACACAAGTAACATGTATTAAATCTGGAAAAAATATTCTTAAATTTTGTCTTGCTTTCACCATATAAGGAGCAGCATCCAATAAAATAAGCAGTAATTTATTAGAAGGAATAGTTGTCGGAAGAAAAAAAGTTGCTAATGTATAAAACGCGAAATTGTTAAAGCATTTGTTTTCTCAAGTTGCTGGCATGAAATAAGATGAGATTTTGGTAAGGTATCTTCTTTAAGAACACCAATCAATAAATGAGCAATATACTTTCCTGAGGAATCAGTGGTTTCATCTACAGATATGTAAAAATAATTATCTGCAATTTCTTCCTTAATATTAATTAACACCGACGAGTATAGTCCGTTCACATTATTTCTTCTTAGAGACCGATCACTTGGAACATTAAGTTTTGCAATATTTTTTTAGAAACGAACTAAAATTTACATTTGCTAATTTTGAAAGCGGTATGTTTGCAGACACTAATGCGCGACACAAGTCTTCATTAAAAGTTTCTTGCTCATCTAATTTTTTTGAAGTAGATTGGAAACATTTAGCCATTGAAGTTTGATGTTTTCCTCCTATTTTTCCTTTTTTTGCAATGTGTGAAGCAGTTCTCACATGTTGGTCTATCTGAAATTTCTTCTCACATGCTATCTATAAATAAAAATAAAAACCTTTATTTTAACGCAACCTTTAAAATATAAAAATATACAAGGTGTTTTTGGTTAATCAAATAACTGGTTTGAAAAAAAAACACTCGCTAAGTGTTTTAAATGCAGTATTAATCCAAAAATTAGTTTTTGTTACTAACCATTAGTACATCATATAACTTATTTTAAAATTCAACAAAAGTTTTTTTTTTGTTAATTCAATTATAATAAAAATAATTGTGTTTTAGAATAGCTGACTTCATAAAAAAAAGTAAAGGTGAAAAATTTTTCTAAATGCACACCATTGTATTGTACCATGGACAATTTTTTCTCACTAAAGGAAGCTATTTTTCATTTAAAAACAACCTACGAGTACTAAATTTCAAGTAAATACGTTTATTGGTTTTAAAGTTATTGTTGTTATTAACTAAAAGAATTTAATTTTTTTTTTATTTTAACACCCTGTATCTCGAAAAGTAAATAAGTTTGACCCCTTATTAACTATATCGTTTTGTTCAATTTTTCGAGAAGTATCTACAGTCAAACGTTGTAAGTGTCATTTGGAAACACCCTGTTTGTATGAAATATTAGATATTTAATAGAAAATATTAGATACAATTTTGCCACAGACTGAACAGTAGATTTTTCCCATATCCATAGACAGCTCTTTATAAGGTTTAATCCAAGTTGAAGCACTGGTTGTTTTAGGCATTATAAAATCACAATCTTCCTTTTTGTTACGCAAACGAGTGTTTACGCTTTGAATATCAAAACAAAAATGATTTACAAATCTGAGCATCAAATAAGAAATGTTTAGGTACCTAATTCAATAAACTGGGAGATTTTGGAAAATCCCTAAATTAGGAACAAAACTATTAGCCGTTTACCTGCTGTTAAGATACAATAAATTGTAGATAGATTTGGGGAATAGATCATAAAATGCAAATGAGCGAACCCTTAGCGATTATCCAATAACTGAATGCCTCACTGACCGAGACTTTCTAAAAATGTTGAGGGCTACTTAAATTGATCTTCTTTGAAATTGTAAATGTTTTTAACCTGTAGAGATTACGTACTTAGATCTTTTCTTGATTAAAATGACTACAAAATTTTATACAAGAATTGAAATAAATTGGAATGTTTAAAAATTTTCAAATACAGTATAAAAATCTGAACTTTTATGCACTTTATGCAAACTTTTATACAAATATGCCAAAATATGAAATATTTGCATAAAATATGCACAATATGCAAAATATGCAATATGCATATTTGCCGAAGTCTAATGATCATTAACTAAAATTTTTAGCATATCATAATGGGTATTAATTTTCCTTTGTATTCCATTTTTTATTCTTTGTATTTATTTGGTTATATTCCATTGTAATAAATTAAATGTTGATCTATTTTTTTTGTTTCCTTTTTAATTAAATGTTAAGCTCCTGAGGATAACTCACTCGACGTATCTTTGTCAGGTTCTTCATCCTTGTATTATATTTTCTGTATCCTATTTCTTTGCATGTTTTGCAGCGAGCTATTTTTTAACAGATTTTTAAAAGTACTTCTTGATTTCTAAAAGTCGGTAGGTGGATTTTGGGTTATAATTTTAATAATTAAGTTATTTAGTAGTAGTAGAAATTTAGGTCGTTTTAGGTAAATTTACAAAAGTAGTAGTGGTTAATATAAAACTAAATGGAATCTAGATTGTTCTGGTATTAAAATTAATTAAATTAATAATTTTTCAGGTCAGGTTTTCGAACCATAACTAAGCATATGAGCAGATCTACTAAATTTCATGTTCGCCAACTATCAAACTCATCCCTTGGATTAGTAGGATTTTATTAGTTTACGAAAGTGGTGTCACAACGCGTTTTCAATTCGAGCGTTTTCATTAGGAAACAGAAATTAGTTTGACCGTTCTCCACAAAATGTTTTGTTCCTACTATAAAGTCACAGATTGTTGGAGTTTGCGAACATTGCGGACACATGACCACTACTAATGTGTAATATGGGATAAAATAGAATATTTAGTATCTTAGTTGGCGGCGAGTTTCATGTACATATGTGTACGGATTAGGGTTGTAAGCTGCATTTTAAGTTGAGTTATATAAAGCGGTAAACAAATTCAATTGAGGTGTAGATTTTCTATTCTTAGTTACAACTAATTCTTAAATTTTGATTTTTCATTGTAAAATAAGATAGTGACATGCGATAACCAATAAAACAACAAAAATTTAAAACCTTGAATCTTTAAATAATAGTGTGCTTTATTTTAGCCAGTTCTGACATCAATAACCAAATAATAAGTGGAATTTTGTTTTTTTCAAAAAAGTCAATCAAGTGACTACTTTAATTAATCATTAGAGAATAAATTAAACACCCTTAAGTCAAATATAATTGGTAGTACTATAATAGTCGAATATATTTGTAATAACTTCCTTTAAAAACAAAAAATAACACTGTAGTTTTTCTTTTCACAAGATAAAACAGTAATCTTAATAAATTTAACAGTTTAAAATGTACTATGTTGAACAACCAAGTTATTAGTAAGGACTCTTGGATTAAATATATCTCCCAACTTGAAATTCCATCAAATGTTATTAACCCTTAACTAGTCGCTACATGGTCAAAAAGACCGCACATAATAAAAATTGCTAATATTTCGGAAAAAAATTACATTTGACAACCACGGCCTCCAGTAGCTTACTCATTCGATACAAGGACTAAGGAACAAGGATCTAGGGATCCCACCTTAAACTTTTACCTTTACCATGCGAGATGCGATATGCACCATTACGCAGATGATTTTAAGATTTTGATATTTTTGTTTCTCCTAAACTAACCTGTATCTTTTACCTATTAAATAAGGATATCAATGCTCATCATATTATATATAACCAATAAATAATCAATATCAATATATAATCAATCGAATATAAACATAATATTTAAATTAAAAAAGAAGTTTAAAAAGTTTCATTGTAAAAGATTTTGCTATTTAGTAGTGGGAATAAAATGTAAAGAAACACACAAAAAACCGGTAGAAGTACTCAATGTTTGTCAGAGAAAACAAGAAATAGACTTTTTGAAAGAGGAAAGAAAGAATTTTGTAAATTAAGATAATATAATATGAATGATATGAAGAATATAATTTTTTTAAATTAATAATTAGTTGTAAGTTATTTATTTATGATATTTGCCAGTCACCATTTTAATCATAATTTCGATAAGAATACATAAATGAAAGATTATAATTGGTTAATTAAATATCTAGCTTAAATCTAGTAGTTGTTAAATAAATTGTCAATTTACTATAAAAAAAAACGAATCACGAAACAATTATTCATTTAATTTAATAATTTTAAAAACTATGAAAATTAATTGGATGAACGCATTACTATTGGATCGAGAGCATTATATTTTCACGTTAGTCATCAGTTTTATTATTCTTAGTTGTAATTGCATTAAAACTTGATTTTTATTGTGAATAATCTTATCAATAATGATTGACTGTTTACACCTTTCTTTTATTGTTGTTTCAGTCAATAGAATACATTATATATGCACATTAACTAATACTAATCTACTTATCAGAGTTCAAAATTAGGAGTATAATATCAAAGAATATAGACGTCTATATTCTTTGATAATACTATAAGACTATGAGAAGTATGTATTACCAAGTTGTCAAGTTGACATAACTACTTTTATCGATCTTCTTTTTTAACCGGTAAAATATAATGGTTATAAGGAACAAAAATGTCAAAATTTTAAAATCATAATATGCGTAATGGAGCATCGCGCAGCTCGCATGGTAAAGGTAAAAATTTAAGGTGGGATCCCTAGATCCAAGTGACTAAGGAGCCTCAGTACTAAATCAGAGTAGCGGTAGGTTTGTTGATTATGAGTTACAGCGCAGATGTCATTATTTCCGCGCGCGTCTAGTCAATTAAAAGTTTTTATAAATCGTTTTATTGTGTTTCTTATCACCTTAAGGTATGTATAAATGCTAGTTTTTTTAAATAATATACTATTATACTTTTGTCTTATTGTTTAGTAACCTTTTGAATATATCTCTCTTTCTTTTACTATGTAATTAGTCATCAAATTTTAAATTACTTTGCAGCAAATTACTATTACGATATTTTATAATTTTCTTTGTTTTATGATTGAGAATCAAATATTAATTTTTTTAAATATTAAGCTATAGCAAACTTTTATATATAACTTCATATATGAAGTCTTCATATATGAAGACTTCAAGCCCTCATGGAAAAAGAACCACTTGATATAGAATATGACGACGACAATGACGATATTGAAGTAAATCCGGAAGTTATTGATGAGAGGTCGTAAGATTCGGAAAGCGAACAAGAACAGGATTTAGATGAAACAGGAGAAGTTTTACTGAATAATGTACAAGAAGAAAGTGTTTTTAGAGGAAAAGATGGTACAGTGTGGAGAAAGCATCGAAGAAAAAACAAAAGGGTACGTATGAGCAAGCCTAATTTAGTAAAATAATCACCTGGGCCTAATAGATTTACGAAAAAGTTGAAAGACATTTATGAAATATGGAGTTATTTCTATGATCAGGACATGATTTACATAATTGTAGAATCCACTAATAAATATATTGTATTTATTACAAGCTTTTTATAAGTATTACAAGCAATTTCTTTAGAGAGAGGTATGCAAAGCTTACAAACCCATCTGAAATTCGCGCTCTTATAGGCCTTTTGTATTTGGCAGGGACATATAAAGCCCATCACCTGAATACAGAAGAGGTTTGTTTGAGAAACCTGAAGTTTCTTTTAAGATGCATTAGATTTGATGATAATGTCGATCGTGAAGAACGTAGAAGACTGGATAAGATGGCCGCCATCCGAGTATTTTTTGACAAATTCTTTAGAAAAGTGTAAATCGGGATATAACTCTTCGCAAAATTTAACATGCAATGAAATGCTTCCTGGATTTTTAGGGAATTGCCCTTAGATACAATATATTTTAAGCAAACCCTCAAAGTATGGGCTCAAAATTTTAGTTTATGTGATGCTGAAATGTATTATACCATAAATATGGAGGTTTATGTGGGTCGTCAACCAGATGGCCCATTTACTGTAGACAATTCCCCGAAAAAAGTTGTAAAAAGAATGTGTGCGCCAATAAAGTATTCTGGGCGCAGCATTACTCTAGATAATTGGTTCATTAGCATTCCTCTAATAGATGTTTTTAAAACATAATTTGGATTGACTGTTGTGGGAACCATTAGAAAGAACAAAATGGAACTGCCCCCTGAATTACTTCAAGGATCTCGTCCTCTAAAATCAAGTAGGTTCGCCTTTAGCGATACATGTACCTTAGTGTCGTATATCCCCAAAAAGATGAAAGTTGTATTGCTTGTTTCAAGTCTACATGATGACGACGCTATAGATAGAGAAACATTCGAACATTATAAACCAGAGTTTGCTAGGTGGTCGTCTCGGATTGATACTGCTTTGCTTTGTCGCATTATACTTCTGCTAAATTGGTATCTGGTATGTGTTTGCTACATCTCTTTGTCCAGTGTTCATCCTCTGATTCTGGTTGTTCGTCGCGTGCGTTCAGGTTTATATTCCTTTCTTCATCTTTTGTTTTTTGGTGTCGGTGTATTACCCAGTTGGTGAGATTTGTCCATAGCCCTGCTATGATTATGTAGCTGCATCCTATTGTTTGGTATATCCTTAAGCCATTCCGTATTATTTCGCAAGCATATATAATTGTTCTGTATAATAAATATACACCAATCAGGCCACTGGTGATATTTCCTAGTGTGGATAACCATCCCCATATTCTGTTGAGGGTGGAGTGAATACCCATATTCCAACTCCCCACTCACTTGCTACGCTCACATTACAAAATTTACTATCAGTAGTAATATCCCTAGGACATTGATAACAGACGAGATAATTTCATGACAATCGAAAGCTCGTTCCTTGGTAACAGCATGAAGCCGAAGGCTGAATTAAGCAACGAGCCTGAGAAATTTGTCATGAAATTATGAGGCATTCATCAATGTCCGAGGGATATTCGGCGGATAATATTTCGAAAAAAAAATCATAACTTAACATAACGAAACATTTATTTATTAAAAGTACAGTTAGTGAAAGTACAATTATTAAAATTTAAGATAACATTAGATTCGTTGCTGTTCTCTACTATAGAAGATCTATTACCACGCCTTATATTTATAATCTTGTTGTGGTGTTCTTGATCGAGATTGAAGTATGGTTTTATAGAAAAGTGACATTTTGAAATTTATTTGGATGAAGTTGTCAAACTCGATCGTGTAGGGATTAAAAATTGTACTGAATGCAATTATCAGCCTAATGTTGACATGATTGGGTGAAATTGTTCCACACGACACAAAATGACGAAATTTAAATGGCTGTTAGAACAGTCGAAAAATTATCAGTAGTAATATCCCTAGGACATTGATAACAGATGAGATTTCATGACAATTGAAAGCTCAGCCTTCGGCTTCGTGCTGTTACCAAGCAACGAGCTTGAGAAATTTGTCATGAAATTATGAGGCATTCATCAATGTCCAAGGGATATTCGGCGGATAATTTTTTGAAAAAAAAAAATCATAACTCAACATAACGAAACATTTATTTATTAAAAGTACAGTTAGTGAAAGTACAATTATTAAAATTTAAGTTAACATTAGATTCGTTGCTAAATTTATTTGGATGAAGTTGTCAAACTCGATCGTGTTGTCATAGGGAT